ATATTTAAGCCTCCAAGTCAGGTATGAATCAATGAATTTTAGTTGCGTATTGTTACGATTTCCGCTTCCCGCAAGATGCAGCACTTGATTTCACTCCTCTCCCAGAGTTACATTTCTGAATTTAGGAGGGTTTTACTATTTATTATGGTTTACCACAAGCGTGTTTGCTACAAAAGTGATGAACCTGGCATCTATAAAGGCAGCTACAGTTATTGCAACTGTGGCTGAAAGTCCATCACCATGCCTAAAGCTCTGCATAGCTTTTTTTATTCAAGCTTATTGAGACCTCTTCTTGCTTGCGATGGTGCAATTCCAACCAAACTAACTTCATCATTTGTCAAGTAGATTCATATTTCAGGTCTTCTTCATTCTCTATCTTCGAAAGAAATTACGCCAGTGGAAGCTGAGAATAGCTATTTTTATTTTCTTGTCCCTTCAGTTTATTTATTTAGTCTATGATATTTGTTAAAATTTAGTCAGCCAATATGATAAAAATCTATGAATTCTATCTTTTCCCTTCACCGTCAATGAAAAAAGTTAATTCACATATTCACATTTTTAGGACAAAGATTTAAGATGGGCTTTCTTTGGAAAAATTCCGGCTTTGTCAGGACATCCAAATTAAAAATACAGAACAATTTAGAACTTGCAATTAATATCAAAAGGTATATCAACGTTTTGAAAAAAGACCTGGATACTGATTTCCCCTTCTAAGGGAAATACCTTGTTGATCCGAACTACCCTGCGACTTGGTTATAATAGTTTTTCGTTAAATCATTGTTGTGTAAAAAGTGATCTGTGGTCTATTCCTCATTTTGAAGCACTTAAGTAGAAAAGCCTATGCGACCTCGGATGATGGATAGTTTCTAACATCTTCAAAAGTGGTCTCCTCCCGTGTGGACCAGAAGTTGGATAATCTAAGGTATCGACGCTAGGAATTAAATATTTTGAAAAGCTAAACATTCGTTAAACTCGTCAAAAATTGATATTTTCGTTTGACAATTTACCGAGAAATATTAAATTTTATTACAAGAACAAAAGTATTTTTAATTCAATTTATAAAGATAACATTTTATCAAGACTCACTTTTTTTACTATCAAAATTCTATTTCAGTGACATGCCAGTATGCCAGTTTGAAACGGAGCGTACAAATTCTCCACCTCGTGTGAGAAGCCTTGCTCTCTTGCATGCGTTCTTTGTTTCTAGTGAACATACACACGACAAATTCACTAAAAAAAGCCATCCTTGAAATGGAACTCGACACCGACGCAAGACAACCTTGCAGGGACGTGCAGCAGGTCATTGCAGCCATGATGTGCGTTTCCGCTACACGTGTAATGTTCGTGCAAAGTAGCGTTCTCATCGTTGTAGTATTTTGAAATTCAATTTGTTACATAAGAATACATATTTGATTGGTTCATTTATCTTGAAAAAGTCACGATACAAAAAAACGGCAAAAACAATTTATTAAAATCATCCTTGGTAGTAATCTTAATGCTTCTTTAGACGCATGAATCTATATACTTTATATGTTTGCGTTACGGAGGAAAACTACTTCTGAGAATAATTTTTTGTAGAATATGTTCTCTCTTCTTGGCCCAACACATTCGGGCTCAGAAATTTAACGCAAACAAAACATACAATTAATCAAAAATGTTTCAATTGATATATTTTTTAATGTAAGGTTTATTAATCTATTGTTCAGTTTACGTAAAAATTATAAACATAACAATATTATTATTTTAGGGAGTTTTTGAAACATTATAAATTTTATCTTTATAGATTCTCTTTATTATTTTTCCTGTGTATTCTGTTTTAAAATGCATTGTTTGCAGGAACTAATGCGACGCTCTGATTTACAAATGAAACGACTGCATTTATAACATCTGATTGTGGTTTGACGATATTTTATCACTAACAGAAAGCACATATTTCAGCCGTTGAGATATTACTCGCAGCTTGTAATTTTGGGACATACGATGGCTCAGAGATATCTGCCAGTTGATACATTTTTGATCGTAGCTCACATGGGAGTTTGGATGCAGCAACAAGTAGCAGTGTTAGCCAGGCCTGCATTTTCAGATACTAACGTCTAGTAATTTTAGTTTAAGTGTTGGCAAGGTAAATAATATAGCTATTGATTCCCAACATTCATCAGGGCAAAAACAAACCTAACGGCCAACGCCTTATCTGACGTGCAAAAGAATATGTAGCTTTCATCACATCCAACGTGTAAAATCTCCTTTTGTAGTGTTGTAAAATGTAAGATTATATGGCTTTTCAGCTTCTCCAGACTCTTTATCGATTTTATCGGAGAGACGCATTGTTGAACCAACAGAACGACTTTGTTCTTTTTCGGACAATTTCAACCAAGGTCATACCTCTGTTTTCACAACCAAAAATTCTTCTAGTTATAGACCTTTGCGTTATGTGATAGAATAATTCAGGTATCTCTTACTTGTTCCTCAAAGAGTATAGACAACTGTAAGATTGAGTTGATCTTTCAGTTTGGCAGCTAAAGAGAACGGAATGTACCAATTATCTGTCGTGACATTTCTCTCTGGGTCAGAAATTGACGTCACTAAACGTTTTACAACTGTTGCTGGCGAATTATCTTGGTTTGAATGTTTCGCCAGATATACGTCCATTTTTAGTCTGTAGCAAGGGCAAGCATCTGCATAGTTAAACAACCACACTGCACGGGCACAAACCCGTGCAAAACTTCCAGAAGGCCCTAGCCGTTAAGGGATTGTAACGGTCTCATAATAAAAAAGGTGAGCGTCTGTGATTGCAAATATTTTTAAACCATACTTTGGCATGTTTATTTTTCATGTATTGACGAAAGTAAGACATTATTCAGAACGATTCTACCATTTCGTAAATTGTTGATTGTCCTCGATAGTGTAATATGCACAGGAATCATTAAACAGTAACTAAAGAACGCTTTCAAAAATGGTGTAGGTCCTCTTTCCCTAAAATTTCTGATATTTTAAAAAAATTCAAAAGTTTAATTTTTTTCGTGTCTCTTACAACTACAATATTGGAAATACATTTTTACTTTCTCGCTACTGGTTACGCTGTATAAATAAAGTATAATGTTGCGAAAAAACGGCAAATGTTGAACACAAAAACTTTTATTGCCCGGCCCTGGTTAAGAAAAAGTGGATAAATTCTGCCCCTATGTTCAGTAAATTACTTCTTCGAACACCTTGTGTACTCAGAATCCATATGTTGTTCTTATTGATAACGAAAAATTGATCAGCAGCAAGACGTCCGTCTGCCAGTCTATGAACAATGCTATCGGCTAAACAGTAATCAGTATTTTCGCCAAAATTGATTTTCGTCTTCCGATCTGGCAGATGTTGCGGTCCTTAATTTTGAAGTTGATGTTTTAATTAGGGAAGGGGGAATTTTACATTAAAGCCTCGACATCTTTTTCAAAATTTTCAACAAAAATGCTCCAAACTTTTTTCTTAAAGCCTGAGGCCAAGTATACGGTACAACTTAAGGAAGTCGTTTAAAACGGCACTTCGCGCCGCACCGGCGAGGGGAAATTCTACGGTGGAGGGAACGAAGGGTTCCTAATTGGTCACGAACGTGACGTCATAAGTTAGGGGAATCAATTTTACCCTAGTTTTTTTTCGGAGCTCCATTAAGAAATAATGCTGCGATCGTGATGATGTGAAATAAACAAAGCTTGTAGTGTTATTTCTTCACAATGTGTTTGCAACTGCGCTGTTTGAATTCTGGAGGTATTCTAGAAAAGTGCTTCTTTGTAAAAGTGAATTGGTGATTATGCGGTGGATAGACTCAAGGATGTTTACAGCGAACGCAAGGGCTGAAGACCCGAGCCTCGCCGTGACTTGAATCCGAGTGAGCGAAGCGAGACAAGTTGCCTTTGAAAGTAATTTGGCATTACATCGCGGCGGGGGCATAGGGTATGAAGGGCAAGCTACGAAAATCGTCTATCCGTAAGTTTTGTTCATTTTTATAAGAGCGCGTTGCGTAATCTGAGGGATGGCTTAAGGAGACTCCCTTCCTCCTCCCATCCCTCTCCTTTACCACTCCCCGCTGTCGCGCGTCTCAAAGAGTGTACCTTGAACCCTACTTTCATCTAAAATAGTTATATATTTATTAAGTAATTTAATAATGATTCCAGAGGTAGTGGAACGCCGTTCTGTCGCGTTCTACTACAGACATCCAGCCCTTTGTATAATTATGGATAATGTGTATGTGTAATTCAAAATATCGGCTTTATGTCAGCGAGTTTTTGTTTACGTGAGTAATCTTAAAACAACTGACTTTTCTGCTCTTGCGTGCTTTACCTAAGAAATATTCCCCAAATCTGGTTAAAAAATACATTTAATATTGTAAATAGTTAAACATTGTGTTTGATATCTCCTCCTTCCTCCAATCATTAACCAGTATGAGAAAATCTTTTCCATTCTGTAGCATCTGTTGTACTGTCCACCATTACGGCAAGTTTCAATTCATTATCATGATAAATGTATAGTAACAACAAGCCCATGTTTTGAAGCCATTGTTTTTGTGCTAGTGTTAGTTAGAGTAGCTAGAGTTGTTAGTCTCCACGAGTAGAGAAAAATGTTCAGTCCATGAATTGTCGCCTTTAGGTTGCTAAGTAACTACTTATTAATGCGTTTTTATACTTTTACACAATTAATTCCTCAAAAAGAAATTAATTTTCTGTAACAAAAGTTGCAAATCAATCGAAGATATAATAATGGTAATTTATTACGTATCAAGCACCCACAACACAAAGAAGTTACAAACCAAACTACTAAATAAATAATCGTAAATTTTGTTAACCCATTGTGTGCTTCGAAATATTTCACGAATGGAAATGAAAATTGGCATTCTTTCAAATACGACGTTGCCGCGAAAGTGCCAAGCACTTTGGACCGTTTTTATTCGGCCAAACATAAATTCTACATTTTATTATGTTCAACTTCTAACAAAATAAAGTCGCTTAAAAACTCACCTCCTAATCGAGATAAACCGCATGAAGAAATGTTTCACTCAAACACTGTTCTTATGTAGGGATTATAAATAGAGAATAGCCCTTGTACTTTGTCGCCACCACTAACATTTTTATCTTACAACGAAACTTCCAGGACTGGTGCTGAATGGATATCTTGAATCGTGTAGCGATGATCTCACCGGAAACACTGTCATCCACAAATCCAACAGAATATTGCTGTTTTTTATTGTGAAAGTTATGAGCCTGGCATGAGAACTAACGGCATATTGATCTTTACGACTGACACCAGAATAGCAACCCATTTAGGGCATAACTGCACAGTTCACTTACTTCCGCCGATGCAATTTCATCCAAGGAGTTTGCAAGCAAACCAAAAAAATTCAGCGAGCACTTTTAATTGCCAAATTAAAAATGCATTTAAAAAACACAAATTTCGTAAAATAAAGTCAATAATAAGCGGGCCAGATTGTGAAACAGTTTTTATATATTGAAATAAGAAAAATTATATATCTCAAATTACAATTTAAAAAAATACATAGTAATACCAATTGGAGTGGTCAATTTATAAAAGTGTTTGTCTGTTCTTACGTCAAATTCTAAAATTTAATTCACCACAAAACGAAATAACATAAGTTCAAAACACCCAATATAATAGTTATGACTTCATGTAGTATAATACCTATGAATGCGTATTGTGATGAACAAAGTATGTGATTTTACTTTAAAACCTATATTCCTAAAGAGGAATCAGAATATTAATTACATGGGGGGAAAATTGATCAAATAATAGATATCAAGAAAATTGTTCTAGAATTTTTTTTTCCTGCATAATTTACAATCTGTTCCTATCGGA